CACATTCATTTCACATCGTGTGGGATTCATTCATTGGGTCAAAATCTCTAAGGTTGGAATCCCGTTAGGCTTAATTTAAGGGCTAAATGGGTTTTCCTAAAAACACCTGCTACACAGGAACATAGATATCCCGTATACACGCGTGTAAATACTTTAAATAAAGGAAGGGTCTTTTAAGTTATTGGCTAAAGCTATCCTCGATTTATTAGAAACGTGAATCTACGATTGAACTTAACTTTTTCGGTTTTTTTAGCTATTTTTTTTTTTTAATTTTGTTTTGTTATCGTAAGCCTTTATCCAACATGTTTTAGCAGCATTCACGTCGTGTTTTACGATCATTGGCGACAACTTCGTCCTTAAATGCGAAAGCATGAACACACACACACACACAGACACATACATATTTTTTTTCAATTTTCTTTTGTTATTATAAGCTTTTTATCCACTTTGTTTGGTAATGGACAGCGCAACACCAATCCAGTAGCCCCACGATATGAATGATTCAGTCAGAAATAAATACCAACCCACACGTGGGGTGAATATTTTGCTGAATGGCTATTGTCAACTGTGGCCAATGTTTAGCTAAACAGCAAGCCATTTAGCAAAATATTCCCTCCACTTGTGGGTTGGTATTTATTTCTGACTAAATCATTCATGCCGCCGTGGGGTTACCCGTTGGGCCTAATTTTGCTATTGTCCAGGCTGACCGCATCGTAACAAACTTTTGACTGCACAGGTTTTGATGGACGCGCATTCTAACGGCGTTGGAATGGCGGTCAATTTGAGATTTTCGCTGGGATCGTTGCTCCACAAGCCAACTTTTGTGGGATTTGTTTTCATGAACTTGAAGGGCAACTATTTGGCTTTTGTGCTGCCAAGTTTCGATTCAAGGGGAAGTATTTAAGTGTACTTTTCGAGCGATTTTTGTGAGCATGTGTGAGACAGAGGTTTCCTACCTTCCCTTTTACTTGGTAGTGCTAGGATGTTGAGCTGAAACACATCAAAACGGCCTGAAATCGCGACAAGAACAACACAGACTACTATGTATGAAGGTAAGTTTTTATTTCCTTTATCATTTCACACAACTTTATATTTATAGAGCTCAAAAGCAAGTCCAAATAAACCACTTTACAAACTCTATAATAATCCACTGTGAAAGAGCCTGTGACAGAGCTTGGGCGGCCTGTGTCTGCACCAGCCTGAAAGAGGGCAACCAGAGTTAAGCCACAGTTCTACCAGCTTAATAAAACAAATACGACAAGTACGTTTTTATCATTACAAGACTGTTTCCTGTTGCTCACTCATCAGGGGATTTTATAAAATCAACATATATTGCGCTCTAGTTTTATGTATCGAGCACTGTTATACGGAAAATCGAAACACAGAATTCCTATATATCTATATGTGTGAGTGTGTGCGTGTGTGTGTGCGCGTGCGTGTGTGTGTGTTTATGCTTTCGCATTTAAGGGCGAAGTTGTCGCCAATGATCGTAAAACTCGATGTGAATGCTGCTTTCACTCGTATGCGAGTACTACTCATACAAGTAATTAGTCGTCTCATAAGATATAAACATGTAAACGAGTTAAATGAAGATATTAGTATCAAATTTTGTGACAGAGCCTGGGCCACCTGTGGTGGGGATAATTCTTGGAAAAAGTCATTTGATGCACTTTTTGCTAGTATATAATTGTCTTTCACAGCTAATTTTGAAAGCAGTTCATTATTAGAGCATATTTCCCATAATATAGTCAGAGAGCCTGTTAACAGTGTAAGTAGTTTTCCGTGTAACCTTATGATGGTTAGTGTCTTGGTAGTAACGCGAACCAAGAAGTTCAGCCGCTTGATTCAGCCGAGTGTATAGCCCGCAACAAAGCACATGGATTACCATGAAGGGTATTTTTTTTCTTAGAAAGCTGAGTCGTTATCCATGTCTGAGCTCAAGACAATGGCTCCCTTGCTTAAAACGTGCCTTTGATCGCTGCTTCGACTGGCAATTTTCAAGCATAAGTGGATAGAGGTTCGACAGCCAACAGTTCGGCACCATTCATTCAATGTTGGAATGTTTAAAAAAAAAATAATCAAAAGACAGTTGAAAACAGCAAACAGCAAACAAAGCTCCCGAAAAGGATCAAAACAAAATAAAAAACCAAATATGACAAAACAAAATCACTTCTTAGTAATAATAACAGTAATAATAGTCGTGCTAATAATAATAGCACTAAACAACGATGACAATAATAACGACAATAGCGACTACAGTAACAAGAGAAAGTATGATGCCATAGAATAAATACATGTCAGAAGGATAACACTTAGCAATGCTTACCAATTCTTCTGTTTTTGATGATGTTTTTGGATCTTCTATAACCGTGGGATGATCCAGCCGCTGTTTGTAAAGAACCTTAGATTGAAAAAGAAGCTTGTTATAAATCAAACTATCCTGGTAGTTTAAGTAACGTTTTCCGGCCATTGTCAAAACTCATTTTTTTTTTTAAGAATAGGAGAAATGTACGATATTTAACACCATCAATACACTTGTCACTTGGACGAAGGGCTTTTGTTCTAAATGTCGGCTTTGCAATCTCCCTAATTAACTATTAAGAATTCGATGATGACATTTTACCGAATTATCTATACAAGAAAATGTAACTTTTGCTAGTTATTTAGAAAAAGAGGCGTATTTTATAGACGCGAGAATTGTAATTCGTATTTCTTTGCAGATGCGATCTTTATAAAACCTGACAAAAAATGAGATCGAATGGAAGAAGCAATTTAGGACAATATTTATCTCAACAGTAAGTTTTGTCCTGTTTCGCAAAGTAGTTTGCTTGAGAATGATTTAATTCAATGGCTTGAATAGTTTTATTTGTTATCTTTACACTAAAAATCATACCTTAATCTTCACCACAAGGCCGTGTCGCTGCGGCTTTGATATTTGAGATTGTAAATTTATTCTTCTGTTGCTGTGACTTTAACTGTCAAGGAAATGCCAGTGGTAATGGTACTTGATACGTAATCCGAGTTACTTTTCGGTTGCAAGTGTTTTTGCAGTCTGGGTTGCTGCATGTCTGACAGCAAATACCATCAGCATTACAGCAAGTCTGACGAGCAAGAGTGCCTTTCTAAATTATAAAAAATTCATTTTTTAGCGTTACACTTCTGGTCACAGCTGCTTGAGTTGCATTTCATGTAACAAAAATCTAATCGCTGGTTGCAAGTCTGAAGGCATTCTGTTACGCTGCGTTCCAGATTACATGTGTTGGAATTGCATATTTTTGTGTAATTATTTCCATTGTATAGCAGATTACATTGGTAGTTATCCCTGTTACATATCTGCATGCATTTCGTTTCGTTGCAAACCTCTCTGCACGGATTTCTATTTTGGTTGCAAACCTGCGGAGAGTTCTTTCCTGAAGTTTAAGCTCCTTAAAACACTATTACGCTTCTGCTTTCCTTATTCTTATTTTCATATTTCCCCAGTATGCGGTCAAAACATATCTCGCAGAAGGTTTAAGTTTTTCAAAGCATAATATTCATTTCGTATTATGCTTGACTGATGCAACTGTCATGCCAGGCGATTCTTCTCGTGGAAAACTAGACTAGTACCACATATCCTTAAAAAGCCCTTCCTTAGCCAAACTGTACCCGAGGTGATTTTGGGTTGAATGCAACAAGCCGACTTAAGGAAATTCAAACATTAGTCTGCCAAAATGCAGCCGAGAATCTCAAGCCGATTACAGCGCGTTAACTACGCTTACCGTTTTCCTTAATTTAGCGAGCAGATGGTTGAAAAAATTGAATGAGTGCGCGAGTAGGACAAAGAATACGATTCTTAGTAAAGAAACACCAAAATACGTATTAAATCGGCTTTTTAGGATAGTTTCAGTTACAAATCGGCAATGTGATAATCAAGTTCTGTAAGATGTTTTACAAATCCATTTTAATATGATCTGTGGGATATGCAGATGTAAAGAAAACAAAACTTAGAAAAATCCTTCGCCGTTATAGCGCAAAAAAGTTTGTAACATAAATAGAGCTAATTTGTAACACGCGAGTTTATACTTACCTGTACATAATGAAGCGACTAACAATAGAGCATATTTATGAAAATCATCCGTCTTTTTGTAGATTGAATTTTCGCGACTTCGTTTTCAGTTAGACGTGTGGAGATCCGTGAATTACCTACAAGCAATCATAAGGTTGTGTCCGTATGGTATCTATCAAATATTTTTGAGATCATTGCAAGAATACTGTTAGTTGATATTTGAAAGAGTTTCTCCTTTTGAAGAATAAATTAAGCTTGTCAGGTTTTTTTTTTTAAGGCAGCATTCAAGCTTTTATAAAGCCGTTATTATGGCAATGGTTCTGATCGTAGAATTGAGTGTCACGCAAACTATTGACATCTGGAGTTTTATTCTGCATCTTAACTGAAACGTAAACAAATAAAAGGCATTTGAATATTACAATAGCTTATCCGTCAGATTGAAATAAATTCTTAGAAACACTTGTCTAGAAGTCTCGTAATTCTTTTTGTTATACCTTCAACCATCCATCAACTGAAATACTATCTTTCCAACAAAGAACTTTTCCTTCGCTCGAGCGGACTTCATTGGAACCTTACAAACGCATTCAAGAAGTCGTAACATCATTTTTTTTCGGCTGTTTGGTTTGCGTGTTAATTCTGAAACAGAGTATTTCTTCCCCGTCATAATTGGTGCACTCCTATTCTAAAATTACTTCTTCCCGTAATTAGCCAAGTGCTTCAAATTTTACCAGCAAATTCCATTTTATTTTACAAATGCATAGTTTTGAAGAATAATAGAGTTTTTCTTGCTCATGAAGCTTGACGTCTTCACCATATGCAATGGCGCTGCGCGTTTGTGACGTCACAAAATGTTGACCCCCCCCTTCCCGAGCAATTAGGATAAACAATCAAGCTTCTCGAGTAAAGAAATATGGACGATGATGCGCTCATCTGTAGTTCAAACGTCTCTAAAGCTCGTATTTTAAATCAAAACGACGGTATTCCTGGCTCAAAGTTCGAACAAGACCTAGAGAACTATAAAAACACACAATTTAGGCGTGGGTTAAAGTGTAGAGGCTTGAAATTAAGCGGGAAACGAGCAGACCTCATCGCACGTGTTCGTGACTGCCTCAAATCGGGAAAACATTATGTACTTGATTGAAGTGAAATGGGAAAATGGCTTCAGGCGAAGATACTAAAGGAAAGTAAGTCGATCGCGTGAAACATAAGGATCTAACAGTTCAATGTAAAAAGGAGTTGACAGGCCGCCTACACGACTCCCCAGCGCGTGTTTAGAATAGCCTATTCAAAGTTTGGCTCTCACGAGTACGTCTTTGAGTGATCGTCCTCTTTTCTAAGATACGAGTGGCGGATTTTTGTATAGTTCGCTCAGTACTGGTCGTTTCTATCAAATGCCAGTGTCTCAGGAGAATTTGCTTTAGGTTTGGCAATGATGGTTGGTATTGTGTAATAAAAGGCAAGACTCGTTAGTTCGTCTTCGGTTTCTGTTGAAGAGCTAGTTTCCTATTTTTTAAATTCACCTCTGAGAGGGTTGTGTTAATGAGGGCCTCTGAGTAGCCTCTCTTTCGCAAATGTGCTTTGAAATTTGAAATCTTCTCCTAGAATACTGTTTGAGAGGAGTTTGTTCTGAGAAGTCTAAAGGCCTCTCCTTTTATTAAGCCTTTCTTAACTCATTGTGGGTGACAGGAACTATAGTGTGCATACTGAAATGTGTCAGTTTGTTTAAAATGAGTACGGCACATCAAGGATTGCGTCCTTTTCGAATCGTTCGCCTTTGTAGATCTAGGTGTCCAGGAATTTTGTTTCCTTATCGGAAATTTCAGCCGTAGATTTAATTGTTGGATGATGATTGTTTGCTTTTTCAATGAAACGTTCTATTGTTGCTTTGTTTGTACTCCATAGCGAGATGTCGTCTATGTAACGTTTCCAAAAAAGCGGTTTGAAAAGGCTTTTGTCAAGGATTTCAGTGTACAGCACAGATATAAGTATAATAGTTAACACTATCAACTGAGAAATTCTTTCTAGAACACACATTTACCCAGCGTTGACAAAGTTCCAAGTCATGCTTCGGCTGTGGGAAAGTTATGAAGGCTTTCCGAGCGTTTTTAAGCATTTCTTTAAGGGAATCTGGCAATCTTTCTGGATATCTTGAGTCATTTTTACATGTACCCCAGCAGCAATGGTTAGTTGCAACCATTTTAGAAAGTTAGAGCATTTTTTGACCGAAAATAGTCTTGCTTCTGACACGTTTCGCATACAACTTCTTGTAAAGACTCAGAGTGTTTGTCCTAAACCAGCGGGGATCCAAAGATGACATATCTATTTTTATACCTGGCGCGCAGCGCCATTGCACATCATTTATGTCACTTATATCTCACAATTAACAATTATTCCACTCGCGCTTGTTGGATATGAGATGATAGATAGCCAACGAGGCGCGTAGCGCCGAGTTGGCTATAATCATCTCATATCCAACAAGCGCGAGTGGAATAATTGTTTTATTAAAAACANCAAGTCAAGGTGTTACAGAACCTATGACAGGTGTATCAGATTTCCCGCTCCAAGTCGTCATCTTAGTATTTATAACAAAAATGCAACCTGACATCAACTGTCACATTCTTGACATGAAATTCTATAATCTGAGAATGGTCCAACACTGCCCGTTTACGAAATCCACTCTTTATATGACAGGCGTTCCCTAGTGTCTTTAAAAATAAAAGATTTCCTTTAAATGGCCGTTAATTATACATAAGTTAGGGAGTTAGAGAGGGCACATGGGTTCTCTGTAACTCTGTCTGACGTGCGCTTAAACAATTATTCCACTCGCGCTTGTTGGATATGAGATGATTATAGCCAACTCGGCGCTACGCGCCTCGTTGGCTATCTATCATCTCATATCCAACAAGCGCGAGTGGAATAATTGTTAAATATAACATGATCGTCTTGGTAACTAGGTATTGCAGTTGCACGTGATTATTTTTCATGAGACGTTACTGATTCTAAAGTTAACTTTTCTCTTTTAATATTATCATCATTATTTATGTATAATTTGCATGCAACACAGAGAGGAGCACAAACGAGTTGAGTGAACTATAGCCAAGGATCCGAAGCACAACCTCAAAATATCTTATACGGTGGGATATATTTTTTTTCAATGAATTAGGAAAATAAAGAGAGAGAAATAAACGGTTAATCACTTCTCAGGCTCTAAATTGTAGTTTATTGCGATAAAAAGATTGAAGATTCATTATCTACTAGATAACCACGAAGAACAACACCATCTTCTACATACAATGCGCAAAGCTAAAGTACCCCTGCTATTTAATATGAAGACTTGGTCGTTCGTCTTTTTTACTAAACTCCAATTGGACCTACAAGAAGATTTATTTTACTCTGCCTTTGGGAAAATTATTAAATCCCGACATAGAGTACATCTCTGAAAATGGGACGAAGCGGCTTTCAAAGAAGTTTAATTTGTAGTTATCAGTTGGATTCCTTTTAGGCACAGGGGGAGCTTTCTGGACCTTAATTGACTCCTTGGAAAGGCAAATAACCTTTTTGTCACCGAATAATTGAGCCATATTAAATGCCATCCTGCCAAATGCAGTAATGTAAACAGGGTTTACTGTCCACGTTCAGCTCCTAGGTGCCACACACACACTCTTGAAAAAAAAAAAAAAAACTATTTTTCTCGGATATTGGAAGCTGGATCTTTATAAAAAGCTTCTTCGCATGAAGCATTTCTTTCCAAATGACGGCCTAAAAACGTCGCATTGTGTGTAGCTAGAAAGAAACTTGAAAACGAAGATGCCTTGCGTAGTAAATTGCATTTTTCTTAATGCCAAAATATTTTTCGCAAATATGTCAAAACTAGTGGAGAGGAGAAAGTTTGAAGGAACTACACGGGTTTTACTTTTATGATCCTGAAATACTGACATATCTGCTGTGTTATTTCTCTCCCACCCTTAGTTTTTTACATAAACGAAAAA